ATTAAATGGTATATATGCAGCTGTACCAGCATTATTATATTTTCCATTAATTGCTTTCGGTACTGTTGTGGGTTATAAAACTCTTTCTTGTAAATCAGAATTAGAACAAATCATACCTATTTCCAATGTTAGTGGATTTATTTTTTATAAGCAAAAAGATAGTAAAAATGATACGACTGCAGTGGTTGTACCAACAATACTCGATTTATTAGCATTAGCATCTCGAAAGGCAGCAAATGTGATCTGTTTGCCATACAATTTACAACACTTGCCACAGCAATTGTTGCCAAATTTTGAAAATTTTAAAAAATTAATTCTATGGTTTGGAAATGACGAACCTAGCTGGTATACAGCCAGACAATTCGCTAAGAAATTAAATGAGAAGAGATGTTACTTCGTGAGACCAATTGACACGCAACCTAGACCAAAATTAGCTGCTGACAGAGATTATGACTTTAAACATATTTTAGCAAATGCACAACCAATCTGGCATAAAAGTATTACTATTTTTGATGACCTCAGACAAGATGTATTATGTGATTTGCAAAATATAGATAAAGTTCAAGGTGTAAAATGGAAAAGATATCCTACCTTAAATCGAATTTTAAAAGGACATAGAAGAGGAGAGTTTACAATACTAACTGGCCCAACTGGTAAGACAGATCAGTTAATTACTAAAGAGATAACTAAATCATTTGCATCAGAGGATGTTGCTTATAAAATTACATTTTTTTACACATATCAATTTTTAGGCAGTGGCAAAACTACATTTATGAGCGAATATTCGCTAGATTTAGCAATGCAAGGTGTCAATACATTATGGGGTAGTTTTGAAATCAGAAATGCTCGGTTAGCTAGAACTATGTTGCAGCAAATGGCAGAAGTATCTTTGGAAGATAACTTGGATAAATTCAATACATATGCAGATGCTTTTAACAAGTTACCAATTTATTTTATGACTTTTCATGGTCAGCAGAATATCAAAGTTGTTATGGATGTATGACATTATATGTTTCTATAAGACATTATCTATAAATGAAAAATTTAGTGTTGTATATAACTTTTCGCTTTTTTATTTTAGGCAGTTATGCATGCAACATATGTACATGACATAGCTCATGTGATAATTGACAATATGCAATTTATGATGGGCATGTCAGAAGAAATGACCGATAGGTGAGACGAATGTGTTTTATCTCTCTTTGAAAAATTTATTTTTTTATACAGCGTTGTATCGTAGATTTTGGAAACAAGACAAGATCATAGCACAGTTCAGAAATTTTGCTACAAAATATAATTGTCATGTTACTTTGGTTATACATCCAAGAAAAGAACGAGATGAAGAATTGACAGCTTTGTCTATTTTTGGCAGTGCCAAAGCAAGTCAAGAAGCTGATAATATATTGATTATACAAGACAAAAGACTTACTAGCATAAAAGGAAAGAAATATTTACAGGTATGTACATCTGCAATTGTTGGATGATATATTTTTCAATCTTCAATATGAGTTATTTTATCTTGTGTGTATCTAGATTGCAAAGAATAGATACAGTGGAGATTTGGGTATAATGCTTCTAGAATTTGACAAAACCAAACTTAGTTATGCATACAAGAAAAAGGTAAAGTCAGAAGAAGTAAATAAAATAAAAGGAATAAAAGTAAAAGAAGATATTTCTTTGGTAAAAAGTTAAATTAT